GACTCAATTTGCACTATTTCTAGCAGTCTGCAAAGGCCCCAAGTCTCCCTGTCCTCTACTGCTCTGCTCAGGTGCTGCAGACTCATGCTTGTGTCCTCCCTAATTGAGTCCATCCATCTGGTGTGCAGTCTACCTCTCCTTCTTCTGCCTCAACCTTTCCCAACATGATTGTCTTTTCCAGTGAGCCACGCCTTCTCATGCTGTGGCCAAAGTACAAAAGCCTCAACTTAATAATCTTGGCTTCCAGGGGTATTTCTGACCTGATTCACTCAAGGACCCATTTGTTTGGAATACTATGGCTTTTCTAAACAGCTGTTAAGAGTACAGAAGCCACTTCTAATTTTCATTTAGGAAACCTTACTGGCAGAAGTCAGAGAGTGCATTTGCTTTTGGTAGCTTCAGGGCACTCCCCTGTCCTCACATAAGTATTCCTGACTGGTATATGCAGTCCTGTATGTGCTTAAAATTAGGGAGCAAGCCCCATCAGCTGAGTAGGATTTCATAGAATCATAGAATCAGGGGTAGGCAACCTTTCCCCTTTAAGGCCCGAGGGACTTCAGCTCCCAGAAGCCTCAGCCATGTTGGCCAATAGTCCCATGTTGGCCAGTAGCTCCTGGGATGCCTACCCTTGCATAGAATCATAGAGTTGGAAGAGATCACAAGGGCCATCCAGTCTAACCCCCCTGCCATGCAGGAACTCCCAATCAAAGCATCCCTGACAGATGCCCATCCACATTTACTTCTGAGTAGGTGTATATAGGATGGTAACATTAGAAAGAGGGAAGAAGAGCCTGTAGGCAGGAAAGGAAAACTGAAAAGTACAATCCCTTTGTGTCTGCTTTGATTTTAGTGGTGGTCAAGAAGAATTAGTTTAACTCTATTTTAATATTGATTTTTTTAAAATGCTTTAAGCTATATTGTATTAGTTTTAAATAAGCCAGGAATGTTGGCAAAGTTTGATCTGTAAAGCTACATATTTCATCAGGACTCTTCAGCTTAATTTTGTAAAATATGAAGTAGTATATATTTGACAGCTTGTTGGCATTTTAAACTTGATTTACCTTGCATTAGGTATATATAAAAATCCTGTTGTGGGCATAATGGACAGATGGCATAAAAATCATGTTGTAAAGCAGTCCATGGCTTTTGTAGATGTTAGATTACAACTTCCTTTACAGCTGGTTGTTGTCCATGCTGGCTGAAGCTGATGATAGCTAGAACCTATTATCATTTGGTGGTCTCAGTTTCCTCCCCTCTGTTGCCATCTAAATGAAGTTGAGTTACTTGGGTCACACTCTGCTCACCTCAAATAATTTTTTCCATGTTCCAGTATGAGCAATCAAGTAGTATTCAAGGTTGGTTGTGGAAATAAGTTTGGTTTTCCATGGCAGTATAATTTTTACCCTGATGCTCAGTGACCAATGCTTGTGCCTGTCTGAGGGGGTTGGCATTAGGACCAATCCCATTTGACACTGATGAGCTTTAGCAGCCATCAGACCCATGTGCTGTTTTTAATTTAGAAATGTATGTGATAAGACACTGAGTAGAATTTGCCCTACGGAGTTACAAAATTGCAGTTTTGCAATCCTCTCACTTGATGCTGCCTAGAATAATGAACAAAGAATTCAACAACTTGAATATAGAATTCTGTAATTGCTGCACAGGCATCCAGTCCATTTATCCCAGCATTTGCCTCAGTGTCTATTAACAGAAACAAAATGTGAAAATGAAGCCAGCCCCTTCTTTGACTGTCATTTTTTTTAGTAGATTTAGAAACCAAAGAAATTGAACTCACTGGTATCTTTCTAAGACAGAGGTGGGGAACTTTTGTGCCTCCACATGTTTTGGATTCCAGTGGCTCAAGTGGTTAAGGCACTGACTCTGCTGACTGCAAGTTCGGTGGGTTGGCAGTTCAATGCCTGGGTGCTGCATGATGGGGTGAGCTTCTGTCACTAGTCCCAGCTTCTGCCAACCTAGCAGTTCAAAAGCATGCAAGTGCAAGTAGATAAATATGTACCACTTCTCAGTGGGAAGGTAAACAGCATTCTGTGCAATCATGCTGGCCACATGATCACAGAGTAGTCTCTGACAATGTTAATTCTTTGGCTTAGTAATTGAACTCGCTGGTATCTTTTTAAGACAGAGGTGGGGAACTTTTGCGCCTCCAAATGTTCTGGATTCCATCTCCCATAATCCTGTATCATTCACCATTGTGGGAGCTTTTGGGAGACGAACTCTCTTACAAGATCTGCCCTGTGTTTTACAGATGAATAAAATGATGCTGGCAATGCCATAATCACAAAAGTCAACATGGGTTGGGTTTTTCAAAAACAAGACATGCCAGACTAATCTGATCTCTTTTTTTCAATAAAATTACCAGTTTGGTAGATGAAGGGAACACAATAGACATAGCATATCTTGGTTTCAGTAAGGCTTTTGACAATGTCCCCCATGATAAACAAGATAGTAAAATTTAGGCTAGACAATACAACTGTTAGGTGGATTAGTAACTGGTTGACTGACCAAACCCAAAGGGTGCTCAGCAATGGCTCCTCTTCATCATGGAAAGAAGTGACCAGTGGGGTGCCACAGGTCACTGTCCTGGGCCCAGTGCTATTCAACATTTTTATCAATGATTTGGATGAAAGAATAGGGGGCATGCTTCTCATATTTGCAGATGACATCAAATTAGGAGGAATAGCTAATATCCCAGAGGACAGGATGAAAATTCAAAATGACCTTAATAGATTAGAAAGCTGGGCCAAAGCTAACAAAATGAATGTCAACACTGAGAAATGTAAGGTACTGCATTAAGGGCAAAAAAAATTGAAATGCATAGATATAAGATGGGGGACACCTGGCTTAACGAGACTACATGTGAAAGGGATCTAGGAGTCCTAGTGGACCACAAGTTGAACATGAGTCCACAAGTTGAACATGAGTCAACAGTGTGATGCAGCAGCTAAAAAGACCAATGCGATTTTAGGCTGCATCAATAGTATAGTATCTAGATCAGGGGTAGGCAACCTTTTTGCGACCTGGGCCGGTCTCCCGAAGCCCAGGTCTCTGCTGGGCCAAGGGGGGGGGGAATGGTGGCGCGCGTTCATGCGCGCGTGCGCACCCTCCGCCGCCCGCAACGGTCCCGTGCACGCCGCCGCTGCTGCCGCTGCTGCCGCCACAGCACAGGCGGCCACAGCCGCGGCGGCGCATGTTGCGACCGCCATTTTGAAAATCAAAATGGCGGCCACGGCGCGTTTCTGCATGCATAGTGCTCCTGCGCGTGCACAGATGAGTCGCGGCCGCCATTTTGTTTTCCGAAACGGCGGCCGCGACTGGTTTGCGCATGCGCAGGAATACTGCACATGTGCAAACGTGTCATGGCCGCCATTTTGATTTTCAAAATGGCGTCCGCAGCGCGTGCGGCTACACAGAAGAGAAAATGCGCCGCGGCAGCAGCGCACGGCGGCAGTGGCGGCGGCAGGGATCGGCCTGGGCTGGTAAGTCCGGCGACCTGGGTCTCAACCGGCCCGGGGGCTATAGGTTGCCGGTCCCTGATCTAGATCAAGGGAAGTAATAGAGCCACTGTATTCTGCGTTGATCAAGCCTCACCTGGAATACTGTGTCCAGTTCTAGGCACCACAGTTCAAAAAGGATGTTGAAAAACTGGAGCGTGTCCAGAGGAGGGTGACAAAATGGTGAAGGGTCTGGAAATCATGCCCTAAGAGGAACAACTTAGGAAATTGGCTATTTGTAGCCTGGAGAAGGGACGGTTAAGAGGTGATATGATAGCCCAGTTTAAATATTTGAAGGGATGTCATATTGAGGAGGGGACTATCTTGTTTTTTGCTGCTCCAGAGAATAGTACTTGGAACAACGGATGCAAGCTACAGGAAAAGAGATTCCACCTGAACATTAGGAGGATCTTCCTGACAGTAAGAGCTGTTTGAGAGTGGAACACACTCCCTTGGAAACTGGTGGAGTCTCCTTCTTTGGAGGTCTTTAAATAGAGGCTGGATGGCTATCTGTCGGGGATGCTTTGATTTTGAGTTCCTGCATGGCAGAATGGGGTTGGACTGGGTGGCCCTTGTGGTCTCTTCCAACTCTATGATTCTATGAAATTGAGAAAGTTTTCTATAAACCTTACCTGTTAAAGAGGAAGCCAGGATGGGGTTGAAGTTTGAGAGTTGGACTATGACTCTGGAGATCAAGGTTTGAATCCCCACTTGGCCATGGAAACTCACAGGGTGATCTTGGCAAACGACACGCTCTCAGCTGCAGAGGAAGGCAAAGGCAAACCCTCTCTGAAGAGATCATGACAAGAAAACCCT